CTTCTGGAGTTTGGAAACTAAAACGCAGTTGTATTGCTTATGGATTATCAGAAATAATTTCAAAGAAGGGACAGACACATAGGATGAACCTATGGATTAACTGCAGCATCGTTTTTTTATCGTTTTAATGCCATTGAAGACCACTTTTGACCAAGGTAAGCCATATTTACGTTTTTTAGCTACTTAGCTCCACATGTGATGATGTACGCTTTAGTTTATAGCGTCGCGAATGTTTATCACTGAGTGTTGAGGTTTTTTACACAGATTCAGTGTCTCCAGGACACCAAAAACGAGTGGTTGGCTGTGCATCTAGGATAAGTAATAAGGGAGTTATGAGTGAGTTTAAGTGCCTTTGTAGGTTCCGTTTTTTCGATCGAGGCTAATTCAGAGGCTGAGTGCTAGCATTGTGGGTTTTTTTTGAAAAAAAAAATTAAAAAGATCAGTTAGCTGAGTTTCTTCCCGTTACATGGATATAACACATTCATAGTTTTATTCAATATTAAGATTCCTTAGACGTTGTTTCCTGCAAATGACGCGTTTATCCGCCCGGTACCGGGGGGATGGTGTGAAACAGGTTAAGACCCACCCCATCTCACTCCTCGTGCTGAAACCTACCAATCAGAGTAGGGGCTGGTCTTCACAGAATACGTTTGGGGAACAAAATCAAGCTTTTTAAAAGGCGAGTGGATTTTGGCAGGCAGTGAGTGCGGACCAACGATTGAACGATAACAAGAACGGCTCTCACCAAGTACGACTCGGTTCCCCTCGTTCGTACCAAAGAGCCGTTCAAAAGAATCGGCTCGTTCGCGACCAACACATCACTAGTAGTCATACTCACAGCCGAAGGAGGCTCCCTTCTTTCGGGTGTAAAACCTTTGTCAGGGGTTCCCAAACTTTTCAGCCCGCGACCCCCAAAATGACAGTGCCAGAGACTGGCGACCCCCACCACGTGAATTGTCAACGGGGGGAGCCTTACTGCGGGGACATTCTACAGATGGCCAGTCCGCCCCTGAAAAATGTCTATGCACACGTTATTAATAATAATAATAATAATAATTAAAAAAAATGTTTTCATTTCGCGACCCCCACTTTGGGAACCCCTGGTCTATGGTGTAAAGTATGAAAATAAGGAGCCACTCCCCACGCCCCTCTGAGAGATATTGGTTAAAAAGAACACTAAGGCGCGTTCACACCGGAGTACTTTTCCCCATACTTTTCCCGTTTAGTTCCGTTAGTACCCCTTATGTCGCGTTCACACCAAAAAGAGTACTTAGTGCCGGGAACTTTTACCCCCATTTTTAGTGCCTGCTGAGAGGTGGTACTCTCCTGGCGACCCCCCACCACGTGAATTGTCAATGGGGGGAGGGGTGCTAGTGAATTGTCAACGGGGGGGCTAATGCTAATAATGCTAATGTCAGCAAATACAATGGCGGCTTCAAAAAACTTTTCAGAGTTTTACGGGCCGTGGTTTGCAATTCGCCCAGCCAATCAGAAATTGGTACTTTTTTCTCCCCAGGATAGTCCCACCTCTCTAGCAGGCAGTAAAAATGGGGGTAAGAGTTCTCTGAACTAAGTTCTCTTTTTGGTGTGAATGCAAAATTCCAGGCACTAACGGAACTAAACGGGAAAAGTACGGGTAAAAGTACTCCGGTGTGAACGCGCCTAATAGGTGCGTTCACACCGGAGTACTTTGGTGTACTTTTCCCACAATAGTTCATCAGAACTACGATATATTTGCGTTCACACCAAAAAGCCCCAGGAACTAAAGTAGCTCAACTTAGTTCGCGAGACTCGCTTTTCAGTCCCTGCTACAGAGCAGGGTCTGTTGTGGGAGAAAGTAGTTCGTACGTCTGATTGGCTGTGCGGAATGCAAACCACGCCCCGTACAACTCCAGAAAAGTTGTATAAAGCAGCCATTTTACTTGCACGCATTAAAATCTCAGCGTAGCAACGAAGAGATATTTTTTTTGCAAAACCAGCAGTTGGCATTATGACAACACCGAAGAGATCAGTGGAGCGATGGACCGATGATGATGTTTCGGCGCTGCTTGATATTTACGCGGACTACGCGATCCAGGCACTTCAGCTCAAGGCAGTTTCCAACGCGAAAATGTATGAGTGCATTTCGCAGGAGTTAGCGGCCATCGGGATCATTCACGGCGCTAAATCATGCCGGGACAAGATCAAGAAGCTTAAGCAGGACTTCAAAAAAATAAAAGACCACAACAACAAGAGTGGTAACGGTCGGAAAACCAGCAAGTGGTATGATCGTTTGAATGCTTTGCTTGGCCACAGACCGTCATACCTCGGCACCGCGCATACCATCGAGTCGAGCACGACGGGGTGGGAGGATGCAATGGCGGGGGAATTGTCCAAGCACGACGACGACGAATTAGGTAAAATATACTACATGCACTGCACTGTTTTAATCTGCACAATAATGGTCACATATGTACTTCTAAGGCTCGGTAGATCGAGCTAGCCATGCTCTGCTGAATTGGCTAACAGCTAGCTAGCTAATCTCGGCCGCTATCTCATTTGCTTCACTAACTCATGGCACTAATCGAATGTAAAATATACTACATGCACTTTACTGTTTTAATCTGCACAATACTGGTCTCAGATGTACTTTTATTTGCTCGGTAGATTGAGTTAGCAATGCTAGGTTGAATTGGGTAACACTGTTAGCAGGCCACAACATAGCTAGCTAATAACAGCTAGCTAGCTCACTAGCTATTCTTCCGCTATAAAAACGTTTTGACTTGTGAATAAGTGTGCCATGTTCTGTCATTTGCTTCACTAACTCATGGCACTAATCGTGTGTTTCAGGCAACGTGGTGTTTCCCCTGGAATTGGAAATCAGTGAGATTTCCCCTCCGGAAATCCACGGTAGTGCCTCCTCATCTCCCGTTCCAACAACCAAACGCAAAGGTACATATAAACTCATGTACAATCATGAAACACCGTGAACATACATCGTTTACACTTTTCGCGCCCTTTTCACTCTCTCACAAACGTAAACATCCGGGGCTAGAGGTCACATGACTTCCGGTAAGAAAGCTCTTAATCATTTTTGGACAAAATAAAATTCTAGCATACATCAAGCACAAAACAATAAATAAGGGCACTTTGAGCGTCAGCTATTTGATCCTATCTTATATTAGCTAGTAAACACATTCCTAGTAAGTTGTAAAACTACTTATTTCTCCTATTAGGAAAGAGGACACGGGATGACCGCTTCCTGGACACCATCACGGCGATGGATGACCGGCGTGCCTTGGCCAGCACGGAAAATGAGGACCGGCATGCCATGGCCAACAAGGAGATGCACGACGAACGGCTGCTGCATGAACACAAGGCCCAGGAATCGCAGGACCAGCTCTTAAAGGTGATGGCTGACTCGGCGGCGCGCTAGGTGGAGGTGGCGGCGCGCCAGGTGGAGGTGGCGGCGCTCCAGGTGGAGCAACAAAATAGCTTTCAGGCTGGGCTTCTGGGAGTGCTAAGCGAGCTGGTTAAATCCAACAGGCCTCCAATTAAAAAGAAAAAAAAAAACTTGTCGTCGTTAGTCAACTATAGAATGACTTGTTGGGAGGCGGGTGGCGCAGTGGCTGAGTGCGTTGGTGTTCGGATCAGGGGAGCACAGGTTCAAACCCCACTGCAGTCAGCATGTCGTTGTGTCCCTGGGCAAGACACTTCACCCCAAATTGCCTACATCTGGGACAGTCAATTTTGTATTATTGTAATATATATATATATATATATATATATATATATATATGCCACTGTTATTAATAGTGACACCTAACTTTGCACTAAGGTGCGTCTGCTGCTGAGTCTATCCCCACATCTGGGACAGTCAATTTTGTATTAAAGTACATATATATATGCCACTGTTATTAATAGTGACACCTAACTTTGCACTAAGGTGTGTCTGATGCTGAGTCTATCCCCACATCTGGGACAGTCAATTTTGTATTAAAGTACATATATATATGCCACTGTTATTAATAGTGACACCTAACTTTGCACTAAGGTGTGTCTGATGCTGAGCCTATTATTGTTATTTTATATATATATTGCCACTGTTATTATATTGTTTTGATACTACTGACACTTATTGATCTGCTGCTGATAAATAAAAGAGAACCTACATGGCGATGTCTTGCGTGTGTTGCTTATTTCTCCTGACACTTTATCTTTATGGTGACCTGTGTAGCATCCTATACATCACATGTAAGTGATTATTCTGATACCATCATGACACCATGAAACTGGCGAAGCTTTATTTATAGTGTCCCACCCCATACATGTGGCTTTGAAAAAGATCATTCCATTGTATTTCAAAATGGCGTCCATCAACACAAACACTATTTAAATAAATGGTTAACTTTGTAATTAACAGTGTTGTGAGTTCAATATTTTAATTAATTATAGTAAGGGAACATAGGAATTCGTGAACTGAGTTCCTCTCAGGAGGATATATAATAGAGGTGTTAACTGGTGAGCCTATTTACTGTGCAATACTACAGACATGTTAGTGGTATTATTTCTTATCTAACTCTTTCCTATGGTCAGACAAATCAGAAGTCATTTAAACTTAATTTGAGATTTTGTTTTTTTTTGTTTCTCAATTGATTTTCCAGAATATGCACCACCTAGGCATAGACTTTATATCACAAATGAATGACATGTACTACAGTAATTGATTATATTGATATTGCCTACTCAGATATAGATGTGTATAAAATGAAATCAATTCAAAGTTTCTTGCTGCTTTTAATGCAATTCATGGCTGCAGGGCACACGTCCAAAATCCTTATTCTACAATCATTTAATCAAGACACTTGTGTATATTTTACTTTAATTTGTAATAAACAAAAAAATATGAATGGTTGTCATCATTGCTCAGTATTACTTAGCTATTTTAAAGTACTTAAAAACTATTATAAATATTGAAAAGTCATGACTGAAGTGCATTGTTCTGCTGACAGTATTTCTACTCAGTATTTCACCTGTATGGTGCGGTCCTGGGCGACAACACACAGTGAAGATGATCTGCTGCACGTACGTAGTTCTTCAGGTGTGTATGCTTAACATGTATGTATTTATCACAGTAAAGATGGTATCCAAAAGCTTTTTTAAGAGCCTTCAACCTCATCCCATTGTCTTTAACACACATTCAACATAATAATATACTCATTAATATACAAATATACAGTATGAGTACTGTTTTGATACTGACATTTTATCTAAGGTGTGTATGCACTATTGTAATTTTGCCTGTTGACTGGGGTAAATAAAAGAGAGAACCAAAAGTACAAAAGATCAGCTTTATTGTCAATTTACATGTTCAGATGCGTCATAAGAGCTGTGCGCGTGTCTTGCCCCCCAGCCTCAACAATGTCTGGCGCTGGCCCATCAAGCTGGGTCGCCGGTAAGGCAGTCCATTCCTCCCTGTACTCATCACCACGACGCTCACATAGGTTATGCAATACGCAACATGCTGCCACCTGGATTTTGATGTTGTCCATGTTGCAGTCGTTTCGCTTCATCAAGCACCGCCATCTGCCCTTCAGTCTGCCAAAAGCGTTCTCCACCACCACTCGTGCTCGGCTTGTTTTGCGGTTGTACACATGTTGCTGGGGTGTGAGCCTTCCTTGGAAAGGTTTCATCAGCCATCTTTGCAGGGGGTAGGCTGAGTCACCAAGGATATAGTAACCCACATCATGTCCACCAATATTCTTTGTTACATGAGGAAGTAGACCACCTCTATCCACACAACTAACCAGTGATGACAAGCTGAACACTCTGCTATCATGCATGCTCCCTGGTAAGCCAACAAAAACACTCCAAAAGAGGCCCTTACCATCCACAACACCCTGCAGGATGACCGAGTGCCAGCCTTTGCGGTTGAAATACTCGTTGTGGTATTCCTCTGGTCTCAGAATAGGGATGTGTGATCCATCTACTGCACCTACACACTGTAGCACACCCCATCTGCCCTCAAAATATAACGCCATCTCCTCTAACTTCTCAGAGTTCGGCCATGGCATGAACTCAGGAAGGAGTAGCGTCACAACAGCGGAACAGAACTCCTGCACACAGCAACACACCGTAGATCTGCCGACTCCAAACAAATGAGAGATGGTCCTGTACTCAGAGTTGGTCGCAAGTTTCCACAGTGCTATGGCGATTTTTTTAGGCACGGGTACACACTCCCGGTAGTTGGTGTTGCGTCTCCCCAACGTTGCTTCCAGGCGCATACAGAGCAGTTGAAAAGAGCACTTGGACATTCGGAAATCTTTGATCCACTGCACATTGGTGTACGTTGGCACCACCATTTCCCACCAGGCCGACGTTCTATTGTTCACCCAGAGAAAGCGCGGGACACGACGCGTTCCATAGTATTCGCATATCTGGAACACATACAAAGACACAAATTAGCCCTACATAACTCCATAAATCCTACATTAGATAGTATTAATGTGATTTACTGAACGTACCATTGCTGTTCTTTGGGCGTGATAACGGTCATCCTCCTCAGCCGTCCTACGACGCAACATGTCCAGAGCGTGTGCTTGTCGCCGTCCAGTCCTTTTGTTAAGGCTTCTTAACCGCCTTCGCCTCCGAATCAGCATTGCTATTGCATTTGAATGGTCGATCTGTATTTGTGGCTGAGTTATTGGCTTAAATAACTCAGTTACGAAGCTGTGTAACACGAGCACCAAAACCACAACTTCAGTCAACTCCATAGCGTGTCTGACTGAGGTCGGAAGGTAAACAGAAGCATACAGCGGAAGCGGAAGTTTCTTTTCTTCTTCTCTCGGTTTTTTGGCGGATTGCAACTTTAAGGTGCATACCGCCACCTACTGTACTCGCCGTGAAGTTGTTTGCAGCCTGCCAGGAAAACCAAAGCCAAAGAAGAAGAAGTGACGTCAGCGGCTCATTTGCCTAATCCACCCCCAGGAACTCATTTTGGTGTGAACGCGATCTGCTTTAGTTCGTCAGAACTAAAAGAACTCTCATGAACTAAAGTTCTCAGGAACTACTGTGGGAAAAGTACTTGGTGTGAACGCGCCTATTGTCTCCCAACACCTGCATTCTTTAAGTACAACGATTTTACAGCATTCTACATTGTCAATTATTTAGATTGTGTTTAAGTAGTAATATAATATTTCGGAGTAGGGATTGCAGCACAGTGTCAGCTAATCATATGACGACTCAAACCCTACACAGAATGAGCGCAAAGGTAAGCTAAATGTTTTTGCATAACTCCAATCAGGTTTCTCCCGAGGTAAAAATGTACTAGATGCAATAATGCTAATGCAAGGATGCTTCTGACCTGTTAAAGGTCACACTAACATTTCCATGATACATTTACATAAGTCAAGGTGCTCTGTACAAAGCTCAGCTAAACCAGTTGAGATGCATTTATAAATGATTAAATGAAAATGTTACTTAGGTTTTCCTTTTGACGATCACAAAAGTCATATTCCTTTTATATGTAAAGTGCGATAAATGTCTCATTAACACAGGTTCCAGTGTAAATAATGATTAGATACTTGATAAAATACTTAACAGTTAATCACTTCATTAGTATCTTTTTATAATTCTTTGTTAGTTTAAAAGTTTAGTCAAATCATAGAAGAAGTTCCCTTATGAGTCATTTATTTCACAGGTTTTTTCAACAGTTATTTCCATTTTCACTCATGGGTCTACAGGTTTTATTTTGATGTGGAGGCCATTAAGTGAACGAAGCACCAGTCGAGGAATTATCTGTGGTGTTTGCGTCGGGTCCTCGATCAGATGGTATCTCTGCAGTGTCAGCGCTGTTGACACTTTCAGCTCGTTCATAGCAAAGTTCTGACCAATGCAGTTTCTGAGTGAGGAAAACAGCACCAATGAGTGGAATATGGTGACAAATTAACCTTTAAAGTAACATCATATAGGAAGACAGCACTTAAGGTTATGGAAATCAGATGAACAGTCAATACCAAATGATATATATATTTTTGATTGACATAATATTGGAATAGGTTGGACAAGAAGGCAACAGCAACAGCCTTTCAGTAAGCTTTTCGTGTTTGCCAAATATGTTTTTACTGCAGGGCTATTGTATTGTAATGTGTTGTAAACTTAGCTGTAGCCCTATTTTTAGTAAGCTAGTCACACGGTATCATATGAGGACAAACCTTGGCCCAGCAGAGAAGGGTACGAATGCGTGAGGAGGCCTCTTGGAAACATTCTCCGGGAGAAAACGCAGTGGGTCAAAGACCTGTGTTGACACAAGATGGAAAAACAAACACCAGTGTGGCATTAATCAAACTTTTTCTTAATTTCTCCCATGAACATGTAATGAGTTCATGCTCACGCACACTCCTAATACAGTGAGGGAATAAACCATGCTAGGTCCTAGGAGTCACTCTGTGATATGCTGACATCTCGGACCAGTGGGGGCACTAGGGTTTGCATTAATTGTGCACTAATTGAATGACTTTGATACTTGTGTGGTGGCCCTGAAGTTGGTCTATTCTCAAAAGAAGAAGTATTTAAGATTGTCGCAGACTGACAGACAAAGAATCATCGTCCAACGTCATGTTTTCTGAAATGATATTGTGTTATGATCCTTAGGGCCATCATACCACGACAGTATATGATTTTTAAAAAATGTATGTAGAAGTATCATAGGTTTACTTCTATGGGCACATGTGAACTTACACATTTAAAAATACTTCCACAGAATGATCTTCTTTACTTACTTCAGGGTTTTCCCAGACAGTTGCATTCCTGTGAAGCGAATACACACTTGTTCCAATATGACTCCCTACAAATAAGAGCAAAACAAAAATGTATTTGTAATAAGATTGTGCAGGGAAAAACAATTAATATATTATGTTTGAGACAATTTTGCAAACCTGCTGCTATAATTCAAATCATGAAGGTTAACAGGTTAATTTGTGCAAGCTTGACTCAATAAAAATAGATGTTTTCAAAGTTAATCTTCATACGATACGATATACTTTGTTGTCCCCGTAAGGACATTTTGTTCTGGACTCCGTCCTGCAGTTCCGCATACCTTTACCTTATCTTTTACCACAGGGTATAAACGTTTGATGCATGCAACTGTATGCTGTTTTATTCACATTCATCTGCAAAGAACCATTAAAGACAAACCTGCAGGCAAAGTCCTTCCATCAAAAAAGGTAATGGTCTTGGTGGTGATTCTGGACATTCTTGGTACCGGAGGGTAAAGGCGGAGGGACTCTTTTATGAACATTGTAGTGTATGGAATTTTACTGAGATCCTCCCTAAAAAGTAAACAGACAAGTGTTAGTTCAACAATTGGCAGCACTGACATACATTTGCATTGTTTTCAAATGTAAGCTCACCACTCCATGGTGTCCTTGCCATCCAGGGCTTGAAGGACCTCATCCCGGCACATCTTCTGGTACTCTGGGTGGCAGGCCAGAGAGTAGAGGATGAAGGACATGGCACTGGCTGTAGTGTCATGGCCTTCAAACATGAAGGTGTCCACCTCTGCTTGTATATCTTCATCTGACAGACCCTGTTTGTTCTCATCCTTAAATAAAAGGCAAACTTAAAACATTAGTAATGAACATATTATGTCTTAATGTGACACTACTACTCCAATTAAAAACCGTACAAGTTGCAGGCCTATTGGAATTGGCACAGAAACAGCTAATGTCTGTCGGATCCTTTTACAGGTCAACTGTGTTTGGAAAGAAAGGACATTTTAGTTACCGAGTTACAGAGGTGTCCTTGAGTAGCTTATTGTGTCATATTGATTATATGTGCACAACAGAAATTTATAACTTTTAAGTTGCTGCTCAAGAGTCCCTCATAAGAGTAAAATAACCAGACTGTTGCCTTTGTACCAGTGGTCATTGACCAGTGGCCTCATGCTCAGCATATCAATGCTCATTCGAAAAACCTTCTGCGTTTCCTTTTGCCCTAGTTTTTTGCCCCTTGCAGGTTAAGCACATACAGTATAATATTTGCGTCATCTCAGGTTATAAACATGACACAACTACGCTTTTTTAATGTGCGGCAACTTTAAGACTGTTCATGCTTTAAATATCTCATTACTAAAATTCTCACGATTATTAATTCATTATCTCTATAGAGAGCTTGCTGCTTTGACAATTGCAGTTTTTACGTATGTTGTTTTTTTTCATTGATCAGAAGTGTCTCATTTTGTGAATTCAATACATGGCACATAACATACTCTCGCTAAGAGAAGGATGTCCAGAAAGTCCACGTTTCTCTTTCCCTGTACGCGATCCAGCTCGTTCTCCTCCTTGAGTGCTTCTTTCCTCTTTCGTATGACTTCCCCTTCAAAATAAGAGAATAATTAATGAGCATATCCCCAGTAACTCTTAAAATGCAGCAACCATAAACCTACAGTTTAGAGCCTATACAATTTCGATGTATGGGCAAGCTAAATTCAGTTTTAGATTGTCATGAAGTTAATATCTGTGAACATCTTACCTGTGTGACTGTGAGCCACCTTGCATGCTTTTCTTAGTCTGAAGCCATGTGGGCTGAGGTAGAAAATGAGGTCATTGTGGTATGGAAACATCCTGAACCGCAGGTTAATCAAATTACTGAGCTCATACACTGCCTTGATGTATTCATTTGTTCCGCTGAAATAAGAACGTAGACAAACAGTTCAGACAACTGAGAACATAAACCTGTAATTGTGAATGGCGGGAAAACGTTTGTATGGACTCGCCTCTCGGTCTGACAGTTGCTGTTGTAGCTGAACGCACACTTCATGATGCTGTCCAGTGTCATAAGGCTCACGTGGTTAAACAATTCAAAGGACTCATTGGTTTTTGCATAACTCTCCCATTTGTCCTGGCAACAGTGAAAGAACAGATGTGAGGTCTCAGCAGGATGTGGAAAAAACTTCAACACACTTAGCTGGAACAACTTTGACATAAAATAAGCCTAAGCCTATATTTCCTCCACATCACTTCACCATTGACTACTTATTATAGCACTTTACACAAAGCATTTTCCTTGTACAAATTATGTGAAATGCAACTTGGCAAAAAAACAGACACTGATTTTATAAACAAAAAAACTGTCATTAACTTACCAGCATGGTTTTAACAGAGTCTGACATCAGATTTACGTAGGGTTTCAAAACTTCAAAATGGAAACCTGGGGTCAAGAGCCTTCTGTTGCGAAACCACTTCTGACCATCAGACACCAATAAGCCATCACCTGAAGACAGACAGAGGCAATATGGATCAGCGAGGGAAGCAGCTTAACAGAAAATACTGTGCAGTAAACCAAAATATGCTGTAGGAGAAAGTAAAAGCAATCTTACCAATCCAAGGCTTAATAAAAGTATATGCCACATTATCTTTTGGCTCTGTTACAAAACAAACAATTACAGATTATGTTACATTGACCTTTGTTTATTTAAATGCAGATAATAAACCAATATGAGTCTGCATGTATACGACGTAGTAAAAAGCATTGTCAAAAGATGAATTTGACTTAACTGCTACATTGTAAAGGTTTATGACTTCAGTAAAGATATAAAACAATGGCTCACACACCTGTAGATATCAATATAGTTTTCACATAGTCTGGATGGTGAATGCTGAGGAAACAAACAAAGGGACCAAACCACATCGGGAAAGCATAAGGGTACTGCTGTCCCCATTTCACAATCTTTTTCAAGTCCGACCCATCCTGTTTAAACTGAAAGTAAAAACATAAAAACATAGATTAAGCTTAACCAATATGCTGGAGCCTGAAGAGGACAAAGTTATCCCCTGAGTTGTGATGCTCTATAAACTAATACTCAACTGCTAAATTTAAGCCTTAATTGCATCCAAATTGTTACTTAAATAAATGTAAAGAAGTTCAAATCAGGGACAACCCAAATTAAATAACACCAATAATAATAATAATAATAATAATAATAATAATAATAATAACATAAGAATACGCTTTGAATTTCCTTTTTTCGCAGTGTTTTCTCAGGCTTTTCTTATTGCAAATCTGAGTCTGTTGGCACATGATGAGACTGGGGATGACCTTTGACAGTTGCAACACTGGGGAAGCTGCAAAAAGGGACGGTTCATCAATCAATCAATCAATCAATCAATCAATCAATCAATCAATGTTTATTTATATAGCCCAATATCACAAATGTTACATTTGTCTCAGTGGACTTGCAGTGGTTGCATTCATTCTTATTCCTCTGATCAGAAACATGCTAGAGTGAGGACAGGAAGACACATTCTACATCTGCTGCTGAAATGACTATTCTCCCATGCAAATAAACAAATGAAATGTTACATTTAATCATCTTTAAATGACAGGGTAGTAAAACGAACATCATTTATATGTGTTTCTTGGAAGTTTTATTTCCATTAGAGTGAAAGAAAACATGGAAGCAAAATAAACCAAAATAACAAGTACATGAAAAAACGATCTTTTTGCCTGTAATGTCCTTAAACAGTAACTTCATAATTTTGATTGTTGGCTGCTCATTTAATAACTATTAATTTTACTAGTTTGTTGTCTGCTCTTGTGCTTAGTGAATACTAAAGAAGACCATTTGTAGAATTCTGTTGAGTATTAAACAATTGCGTGAGTGTGAGGGTATTAAAATAAATTGGTCAGTAAGTCAGAGATTCTATTATTATTAATACATTATTATTATTAATTGATTCTTGCACTTGCTTCTGCGTCACTGAGCAGTCATTATACACGTTACCTCCTTTAGATGTCCAAAAAGCCAGTGCGACGGTGGTCCTGGAAACAATTCCATACTTTGCATCGCAGCTCTTCTTTGGGCGAGCAAGACTGTCAACTTATAAACAACGGCAACAACACAGAGCACCGCGATCAAGTGGTGCATGTGGGGTAAGCCCAGCTGATACTTCACGAAACCCTCAGTTGACTCCATGCTTGCGACTTCCTTGATGATGAGCAGTGATTCACACAACACAGTTTTGTGTGTGTGAGTGTGTGTGACGTAACCACCGGAATGTGGGTGGAGAATGTGGCCCGCCCCGAACACCACTACAGCTGCGTCTGTTGTCATTAGTGATGGGAATTATGGCTCTTTGAAGGGAGCCGGAATTTATGGCTCCGTTCCTTTCAAAGAGCCGTTCAAAAGAGCAGTTCAAAAGAGCCGTTTTTTTTTAAAGGGGGCGGGGTTACTAGGTTTATCTGCGAAATAATCACCAGGATAATGATTGACTTTATTGCCAGACCTAATGTCAATAATCTGCATTGTAAACATGACACAAGCAGTGGCGACTGGTCATTAGGGGCAGGTGGGGCACAGCCCCACCGAGTGTCAGCAGAAAGTATTACACATAATGATTACAAAAAATGCAAAGAGATGCAAAAAAAGAAATTAAAAAATATATAAAATATATTTTAAGGTCATGTTTAATCATCTGATTCGTCTGTACATTGCTGTTTTAGTCTGTGTTCTTCTAATTAGTGTCTACAGTGCCGTTTTGAGCCATGTGGGACAAAACCTGATCATGCCCCACCCTTTCACTGTCAAAGTGAACGGTGACTGTAAAAACTACACTGCGCATGCTCAGAGTATTTTTCAATGTAATGTGTGTGGCAAAAAAAAAAAGACCATAGGGGCACAGAGCTGCCATCCCCACCATACGTCATCTCACATCATTCAGAGCTGATTGGCTGTAAGTACGTGTGCCGCGAAAAGTGTGATGTGTGTGAAGAGGAGACGAGAGAGCTGCAGTGACGCGTCCTAAAACCAGGAAGTAAGCTGCAAAAAAGCAATGAGGTTTCTCCATAGGATTTTAGAAAATAGCTGTAAATAAGATCTGTGGGAAACGTACCTGTTGGATAAATGCACGTTTTGTTCAGCCGGATAATATCCACATGTCTACCCTACTTTTATAATTTTCGAATCATAAATCTATCAATTAGATTTATGATAGACTTTTGAAACTACAAGAAGATAAGGAGGACTTTTACAAAAAAGTTATAGAATTTTTTGTCCAGAAGGATAGGCAAATGGACTTCATCTTCAAGTCAAGGTAAGACCGCAATTTTTTGAAAATGGGATCTTACTAAGAGAGAACAATTCAATATTTAAATGATAAAATTACATTTTTTGGGTATCCTTTTGTTGAACTGTCTGTTTAAAATTAATCGAAGCATCAGACAAAAAAAGCTTTTGAAAATAATATTATATTTTGGTTTAGGTCAAAATATAACATTTGTAAACCTGAAGAGTCAGTGCCAGTGCCTCACCAGCCATGAACCTCACTGCACGTCACTGCAGAAGCTTATATATAGACATCTAAGTTTTTTGTGCCCCACCACTTTTGTACATATAAAAACGCCACTGGACACAAGGTGGCGCCATATCCATGTCATTCATGTCAGTGAATGTACTACTTTGAATTTACCCTCTGTATGTGTTAAAGGGGACCTCCCTGCTGAAAAAACAGCATAGAGGCTTTGCATATGACGTCACGGGTAACGTGACGTCAGCCCAACGGCCATACTGGAGTACCAAAACAGACACCGTAATACGTCAGCGCTGTTTTTTTACCGGACATATAATTGTTAACTTCTGTGCCATTGTTGGCTGCGGCAACAGAGGTGATTGAAACAGGGGGCCGAAGTCATTTTACAGGCTGCCGGCGGTTATAACACACCAGGGTGAAGCAACACATGAACTTTCAAAGCGTCGCCGGGAAAAATGGCTCAATAGGATCGGACGGGAGGATCTCAAACCATCCAACCACAACTATACTCGCGTTTGTGGGGATCATTTCACGTCAGGTAAGTGTCGGGTTTTACATACAAACATTCAAAATGAACATATAACCCACGTACTAAGACATGTATCTTAACAAGGAAATAAGAATCCTGGAGTCTGTCATCGATCGACATATCAGATTGTGGAGTATCTACAAAGTAGTCATCCCTTGGCTCAGGTCATCTTCACACCAGTCTGTCAGTCCCCTGCAGTGCTTCGTTTAACTGTAATTTAAAGTAATTCCTCCCCCCTACTGGCCATTTGATTATATGTAAACAGTAAAGGCTGTACAGTCCATGGCACCTTTTCAGAGGCTTTTGGTTTCCTCAATTATTTGTCATGTTCCTATGTCTTGACACCAGCATTTTAAATATATCTAAAGTCTGACTTCGCTTGTCAAAAGAGGTCAAATTTGTATTAACAGTTCACCCAGGATATAACTGACCTACAATCTGATTTATTTGCAGGTAAACCAGTGGCACTTTTTGACAAAAATCATCCTGACTGGGCACCGTCTGTCAAATTGGGCCACGAGAAAATTACAGCACCTTCCCCTGCTACACATGCCAGGTATACACGCGCCAGAAAAAGGTCATCCATCGCACTACTTGATCTCTACAGCATGGTATCTGATATACCATCTCCAGAAGAGCCCGCACCAGTCCTGGGAGCCACTGGGGAAGAAGAAGGACTGATTGAACCAGAGACTGGCACTGCAACTCAGACTGATTTGACTGGTGAAATGATTGACAAAATGTCATTTGAAATTAATAATGTAACAACAGAAAATGTTAACTTTCAGAGAGTACATTTAAGGGCGATGATGACCATGTGCGGTTCTACACGGGACTTCCTACTTTTGCTATTCTAATGATGGTATACAATCTTGTGGAACTGCACATCAGTGTGAACGCTAAGCGTTCACTGTCTAAATTTCAACAGTTTATACTGACACTAATGAAATTAAGATTAAACCAACCCCTGCAAGAGCTGGCTTATAAATTCAACTCATCCACGTCTACAGTATCCTGAATAATTTGTGTGACACTGTAATACCCGTTGATTGAGCCTTTACATTCTGTTACACCCCAATCAACCCATATCAGATTAAAAAATATTACATGTTTGTATTGTAATTACAAATGTAGTATTACATTATTGTCAATGTTGTACTTGGTCAATTAAATGTCTTGATAATCAGAGCAGTGATTTGGGGTTTGGTTGTGTAGGGGAATGTTTGAAAAATTATTTAAGCTGTTTTCAGGCATGGAAGATTAATGTTTTTCTCTCAAGTTTTCTATTGTCAGATTGGACACATCCCAAATTGCTTGAATGTGGTTTCAGACCTGCACTGCACACTGTAATAGTACTGGTAGAATATTTAAGCTTGGGTAAATACATTTTGAAAAAAACAATTGAAAGGGCAAAGTATTATATTTATTACAGGTTTCCAATTTACACATTGAAAAAGGGTGAAAAACAAGTACATGCTCCTTTAACTGTAAGCTGCAGAGATCACCTCACATAACAGAGATAGATTAACATTGTGTCCATATTACAGTTTTTTTCAATGCTAAAACACATTTTTTGAAAGCAGGGCTTATTTTCTCAAAACACTAAACACAATTCACAAAACCATACACACAAAGTGCAAAACACCTACTGCAGAATGAAGCACTGCACCCAGAACTACAGAAACACCACACTTTTGCACCAAATGGCACACACTTCATTTATAGTACAAGACATTTTGTAAAACCAACTACACACCATCGTGCTCAAGCACACTCATCTTTTATGGCGTTTGATATAGAGAATTCTGCAAATGAAGATTGTTCAAGTCTCCAAAATATGTGGAGAAACACAAATATACTGTTGTTATACTTTTCAAAAAGTGGAAAGTTGAATTGCAAATTGGGTGCAGAGCTGAACATGTGTTTAGAGTTTTGGATATTTGAGCTGAGGTTTTGCACTTTCAATGTCAGTTTAAATAATGATGCTTTGTGTCATTTTAGTGTGCACAACTTTTTTTGATTGTCACACTTACATGTTCTTTATATAGATTTAATGTAAAAGAAACATGTTTAATCAAATAAATATATACAATGTCATTCAGATTGATTAGTACTTCTGTTTCTTTTGAGAGGGGACATGTTGATGACATTTGTCACAACACCAGCTTCCTTTGGGGGCAACTGTTATACCAACACATTCAAAATGAAACCAGGTAGTTTCACAATTTGTGTTATCACATCCTATCATGGGAAGCTTTTCCTCTCCACGACAAAGGCACCACTTGGGTATCAGTGGTTGGGTATTGGTTGGCTGAGTCAGAGTGGCACATAGAGCAGGGTCTGGTATCAGGCAGAGAGGCCTTTTTGGTGCAGTAATGGAGACTGGTGTAGTTGCACTGGAAATTCTGGTGAAGAATTGCCCACTCAACTCGAGGAGAATGACCTTCTGAAAGAATTCATGAGCTTTGGGGTATACCTTCTCCCAAAAGTCAATATATGGGGTTATGTGTTCAAGATGAATCTTTCCATTCACCCACAGAACAAAGTCAGCATATTCAACATCACATATAAATAACTGGGTCTGCACTTGATAGAAATAGGCACAACACCATCTGGAGTAGCACCTAAATATGGAAATGTTGGCGATAACACGAGCCCAGAGTCCTGGCAAATGAAACTGTCATGTCGATTCATAATTGTAATGTAATCTTCACGTGCTGATTTCTCGTGATTACATCCCCATTCAGTAGCTGCAGTTTTAAATGTTGTGGCTTCTGGGTAACAAATAGCTTTAATCAAGCTAAGCGATGGTTTAGTTGCACTTGTTGAACATGCTGCCTTCATACGAGATGCTGTAATCCGCCCAGCTCTGTATCGATACCAGAGTTTGGATTTGGCCTGTGTTTTTGTGGCCTTCTCAATTACATCCGCCTCTGGCTTGGTGATAGCTACATTGATCCCTTGGCAATGTTCTGTAAGGGCTTTATGGTCCATTTCTAGGCAGTTCTCACTTTTTAAACTAGAAAGCGGCTTAGGAAATGTTGACAAAGTCACTTTTGGGACAAAATCGGCATTGTGTGGAGCTGAGATAGATTTCAGTGATGCCAGGAAAGACTGTTGCTCAGCATCTGTCGCTTTTGGAATCTCCCTCGAGTGACGTAAAAGTGGTGTTGTTGTTGTTAAATTAGCTGCATCGCCAAGGCTGTCAATTGCTTGGCTTAAACGATTCCTTCGGGTTTTAGCCGAAGTAAAGTCAATGTCAGCAACAGGGGAAGGTGTTACATCCTTCACTGATCCAGGTAGAAGCCAATACGCCTTTTCCTGGGTAACTGTCTTGGCATCACGTATCCGTATAGATGTTTCTATGTAGAAAAGGAGAGATGCAACATGGGTACATGTTGATCCCAAACCAGCCTTGCAGTTGCAGTTAGCTGTGATGACTGCACCATCCTTCTTCATCAGTACCCACGGACATGTTGGCGGCAGCCCAATACTCTGAGAATGCAATACCTGAAAAATAAAATACAAAAATATTATTGGATTGTTGACTTTTTAGAACCACCAATATTTTGGTCCAACTTTACTTTAAAATACAGATTGTTTACACAACCAGTGGGTGGTCAGCTCTTGTCATATTCCTATGCTAGGTAGCACATAACAGAAGCTGACAACCAAGAATAGGTTTACAACTTTTGTAATTTAAATATATTGCAATATATAATAAAGCTTTATTTATAAAGCCCTTTTCATAAAGCACGTGTAGCTCAAAGTGCTTTACAAAATGGCACACATCACAAGTTAAAAATAAACCACAAGAAATTCCCCTCAGATCAGATGTTAAGACCTTTACAGGTACATGCAGCATAGCAACAACATATAACATTTTAACAGGTTAAGAGACACGAGGAGGTAAAAGGTATGATAATAAAAATAAATAATAAGACAAAAGACTAAGTTAATTGATGCAACAATATAAAACCCTATAAAATAAAGTACAACAAAAATAAAAGCTGGTGTTTAAAAATGTCCACTGAGTTGGCCTCTGATATTTCTTGGTAGCGTAGTGGATAAAAGCAGCCTCACCCATTTTATTTTGGGGGACTTTAGGGATATTTAAAAAGCCAGCTGAAGAGGCCCTCACGAAATATGTACTCACTTTTCCAGCTATTACAGCCACATCTCCTTGATATGCAACGCAAACGTCGCGGATCCACCCGGATGTGGACTGGTTATGTGCCTCGAGTCCTTTGTACGCTTTCATTTCCTCCATGGTGTACAATGGAATAGGCGAAAAAAACCAGGTAGTTCACGATATCACAGTAGGAAAGTGAAGGCCATGAATTTATATCAGTGCTGTAATCCTTAAAGGGAATCAAATAAGGGTCCACCGAACCAATCGACGCACATTTTTCTCTGTAAACGGTCTTATCCTCCGGGTTTAGTGATTCGTAGTAGTCTTTCATTTTCGCCATTTTTGAACGCTCCCGCCAGTAGAGTGGTACTCCAAGATGTCTGACGCGAAATCCCGTGACGTCATTAGGAAGCCTCTATAGACCAGCTTAAGATGGTTGCTGGTTTTAGCTGGTTTTAGCTGGTTTTAGCTGGTGTTAGGCTGGTGTTAGGCTGGTGTTAGGCTGGTGTTAGGCTGGTGTTAGGCTGGTGTTAGGCTGGTGTTAGGCTGGTTTAGTTGGTTTACCAGGCTGGACAAGCTGGCCAGGCTGTTCTGGCTGGTTCAAGACCAGCCTGGTCAGCTAAACCAGCATAGACCAGCATGGATGTCATGCTGGTCTATGCTGGTTTTAGCTGGTAGTTAAGCTGGATGCTGGTGAAGCTGGTATTTATGCTGGTCTACCAGCAGTCTTGCTGGCTAAACTGAAACAGACACAGACAGACAGAGAGGGCGGGACACGGGGGGACGGCGAGACGGCAGTGGTTGAAACAAAGCGGTATGTTTTGACTGGCACTAACGGCACTAACGGCACAACGGTTGAGGAGTGAAGATCAGTTGAGCGTTTCTGTGACTCCGCCCAGCGGCTGCTCTTCTGAGAGGCACCGCTCTGACAGCTCTGTCTACTGGGAAACACGCTAAAAGTCCTTCTGGAGGTAAGCAACACTCCACAATTTCACCAAGTCTGAGAGTAAAAGCTTTCTCGAAGGTTCGTTTTGCTTTCTTACAACGTTACGTTAATGTTAACGTAACCTTACATTTGCTAGGAGGCTAGCTGTCTTAGCTAACAACAGTTAGCCAGGGTTGCCAACTCTCACGCATCTGGCGTGTGACACACGCTTTCACTCTCAATCTCACGCTCTCACGCTGCCCAAACTATTCTCACACCAAAAACAAGAATACCGAAGACTAGAAACGGTTTTGAAAACTTTTGTCACATAGTGATCGTCTTCTCAATAGAACATCTTTGATAATGTCTTCTGGCCAATCAGAATCACGATAACGGCGTGGTGTTGTTGCAGGAAGTCCCGACGGAGAATACTTTTGCGGTAGTACATCTCTATACATCGACA